TCCTGCTGCTAGGAGAATGTGTGTGTTCCCAACTCTCCTGCTAAGCACATGTCCTGCCTTGTCTCCTTCCATCATCATTAGTCTCCTCTAACACAGAATGATGCCTATTCCCTCTGTCTTACCAAGGGAATGATTCCTTCTAGCCTCTACACATAACAAATAAATAAAAGTATTTTTCTTCATTGGGGTTGAACTCACAGCACACCCTGGTGCACCATTATTAGATGCTCTGGCTTAATCATTCGTCCTGCTACTCCTCCATCCTCTAGCAGACCCTCCTCTTTTAATAGGCAGCATAAAGTTGTCATGGGTGGGTCTATATTGCTTAGGGACTTCTCTTCTACCAGGGGCTAGTCTATTACTACTTTCTACCACTGGTGTGTTAAAGTTATCATAGTAAGAGCATTTGAAAAATTACTCACCACACAGCTAGCACATTGCAATTTTTCTAGCAAGAAGTGATGCTGCATTGTGCCAGGAGACAATCTTCAGGAAAGTGGCTCAGGCCCTAGGAAATTCTTAATTCATTTAATCAGTTTTCTAAGAGTAGGTCCTAGGAATACAAATTCCTTCAAATCTTGTCAATGAGGAAAAAAAAGCTGCTGCCCTGAATTATGACATACCCTGTTGAATCATCTATGGCCTCATGCTGCTGTTCATGTTTAGCCTATGGAGATCTGCTTTTGGAAGAGTCCATGAGACAGGTGCAGAAAGCAATGCTCTGAGCAGATATCTGCCATTTCAGTGGCCTTGTAAGTACTGCCTATGCTGCAGCTCATGCATAATGCAGGGATCCTTCAAAATCAAAGAAGGTATGCACTTAAAATGTTTCTAGCAGTCTGAAAGTACTTACTGGTTCTGCTGTTATTCCCTATATTATGAGTAAAAAATGCCTGCCAAATAAATAGAAACTTTTTAATACGTGTGTTTAAAATAGTATTGCTAATTAGGGGTGTGCAAAACAGGCCATATTCAATTTGGATTCAGCCCAAATCAGGCACAGCGATTCGATTAATTGATTTGGATCATTGTCCCCAATTTGATTCGGCTGAATCAGAATCTGAAGTTTTGATGGGAAGCTCTATCTGCCCCAGCATTGCAGCATTCACAAGCTGCCTGGTACCTTGAGGTATGTAGAAAAAACATTTAAAGCTGTGTCTATGTCTGAATCATTGAATCTCTCTGAATCGATTTGGAGCGTTCTGATTTGATTCAGAGACATTAAAGGGTCTCCTGATTTGATTTGGATTTGGAGATTCAGCCGCCGAATCGGGCCAAATCTCCGCTGAATCAAATCTGCAACTGATGCTTCGCGTAGCCCTACTAATTAGCAAGTGTTCTAAGTTAGGAATAATATTTGATTCTGCAAATGGGGTTTTATTTGTGGGAACCAAAACATTTTAATTTTTTTAATTGTCTTTCAGCAAGTATTTTCTGATCTTCCACTGGCTTTTACCAATGAGCTCGACTGGCCCCAGTTTTCAGGGATCACTGGATTTCTGAACTCCACCATTGGGTAAGTTAATAGAAGGCTGAAGTCAAATTTTAGCATACCTAAAAGACCAATAAATAAAATACAAGGCAAAGTTAAGAGAGAAGTATCCAGTACTTGCATGGAAAAATATAAACATTGCTATGCTCTGCCTCTGCTCTTCTTAAAGTCATAATAACTCTCTCTCTCCCTTATCCTAGATATATACATTAATACATGTGTTTCTAGCCAATCCTCATGGTATTCAGGGTGGATTCCGGAGCTGGTAACATTTTTAATTAGAAATAAATTATTTTTTAGGGATTTTATTGCTGTTTAAACTAAAAGAAATTGCAAATTTTGGATTTTTGTTTTCTTACTGAATTTTTTTTTCTCCTGTTGAATGCAATAGAATAAATTACGTTTTGGGTTTATTTCCAGCATGGTCCTACCTTAAACTTTTTTTCTTTCCCTGTTTTCCTTTTCTATTTTCACAATATTAAAGAGACTTGCAAAATCAAGACTACAGTATTTTTAAGAAAAAGAATTCTGAGTTTTGCAATTTTAAGTATAGTTCTGAATGAAATGAATGGGCAGAGTTTGAATAATGAGAATAAACTTGCAGAATAACTATGATTTTTTATATGATTCTGGAAATTAAAGCACAGAAAAATCCAGAACATCCACGTTCCTCAAAACCCTATTTACCAAATAACAACATCCTTCATTAACTAAATATTGCATTCTTTAACCAGTGCATCCAGTCTGCTTTCCATCATATGCTATATTGAAGGCTTTAAAAAGTTCATATATTACCATTAAATCATCCTTGTGGTTAATGCTCAGTTTTATCTCAGGTTTCTATGTAGATCATCCTTTTTGGTTTCAAGACTTATCATGGTTTTATAACTGCACTGCTCATTGTTTGCCATTCTCCAGCCCAGGCACTTAGCTTATCCAAGTTCTTCATATATAAGTTCAAACACAAAATCAACAGCCCCAGTAGGGATTAAAATGTTTTCAGGGCTCTGGAAATGAGTTTTATTTTCAACTTTCCTTTGGGCAATTCTGCTTTGGAAGGATTTTTATTTTTCTCTACGCTGCAAAGTAAAGGGGAAAACTAATCAAACACAACGTGTCTTCAAATCGGTCAGTCCAAGATTTATTACTCTGGGAAATGAACGTCCTGCCAATATTTCTCATTTTTATTTACTGTTCCACAACTGTAATGAAAAGCCAGACTCTTTGCGTGTCAGTGTAATTGCTTTTTGTAAATGTTATCTTGAAGGTTCAATGAGCAACTATCTGAAGAATCAGGAAAACACAGCTAAAAATATGCACCATTTGAAAGGCACTATATATTATATCAGTCTATATACAGCTTTCCATTTATGTCATCATGTTTAAAAGAAAACAAGTTTTAAGTGAACAAAGAGGAAATAGAAATACAAAGGATACAATATTTAAATATTGAGTTAATTTCTAACTTTTCAAAACCTTCTTTGACTCTTCCTGAACTTCAGAGGATTGAATATAAAGGATATTATACTTCATTGAAAGCTTTAGTCTCACCTCATTACTATGCTATGCACCTATGGTTATTTCCTGGTCATTTACATGAAAGAGAAGGTTAAATCCTGAAATAGGCAGTGGAATATAAACCCAGAAAAATGCAGTTTTACATTTTGGTCACCCATGACTAGTTCCTATGACTTGTTGGGTCTGCTGTAGCCTGTTAATTGTGTTATATGGCTTTTCTGTCCACCTTTTAAAACTATTGTTTGCTTCCCAATTGCTGTATTTTGCTGAATCTTCCCCCCAATGTCTGTTTGAACCTCTAAACAGACCTCTAATAATAAAGTAGTCATACTTCACTTAGTTTAATTTTGAAATGCATAATTTATTAGAAATTCACTCAATGTAGTGTGAATTATAGTGCAGTGTCTATTTTCCCTTTTCTTGCATTGCTCAGGAGCATACTGAATAAAACATGCTAAATATGGAAAATGTAGGTTCAATCTTTCAAAGACTACCAAGAGCTGTTCCACTGCTTTTACAATAGTATTTCATGTTGTAGAAAATCCTATGCCCAAAAGTGTATGGGAAATCAATTAATATATTTCTTTATTAATGCTGAATGTGTCAACCCCTTTCATTAAAGCTAACTAGGTTTTTATTTGTATGATATGAATTTAGTACCTTTTGTTTTGTTATTTTTTCAGAGGCTGGACAGAATCTCTATACTTATATTTACGTAGAAGAAACCTCTGCAATCACAGAGACTTCCAGAATATTTCCAAAAATGGTACTTTAACTCATTGTTTTTAATAGATGAAAGTTTGATACTCGATGTTGTACTAATGGACAGGTCTCACAGATAATTCAAGTTGTATGTGCTGCATGCATGAAATGTGGAGAAGCAGAGAACACTGTTTAACATGGTGTTTTTTGTTTGCATTAGTCTATCTCAACTCTGAATAAGGGCTTACATAAGCTTGATTTCTTTCATCTATACTATGACTAATGACTTCTGCTTGACTAATAATTGATGCATTTCACTGTCTAATCCAGAATTCATTTTTCTTTATCTAAATGTTTTAATTAAAAAATAATTAGATCTGAATACTAAAGGTTCTATGCTTCCAGAATTGCTAACGTCAGACAATTTTGCAGGATTATAAATTAAAATATTCTTTTTTCTTATTATGGCCAATTTTTGCCCTAACTAGAGAATAAAACTAAATAATGGCTTTGGCAATACAGAAAACTTCCATATTATGTAGCCTAGTTGGAGATTGATAGTTCTCAAAAGAGTTAAAACACTAGTCTTGAACTAAAGCTATGAAAGAACAGTCCTATAGCACCTTCCTAAACTGAGCTGAACCTTACCGTTAGTTCACAGTTATATGTCCCTCTTAAAGCAGATTGAAGGTATTTGCGTGTCTTGCATTTGTGCTCCAAAAAATAAGCAATCTACTCCTTTCTCCATGTGTGCCACAGTGTAAACACAGGGAGTTGGACACTAGCTAGCTGTCCCCACATGTATGCTGTGAGGAAAGGTTCATGCCCTGTTGTACAGGATATTTTGTAGCGATATTTTAGATGCTCTATGCAACTCTTTATTTACTTAAGGCTCCCATACAGCACAAATAAGGATTGTACACAGTGGGTACATCTACGCAAGACATTACTGCACAGTGGTTACTGTGCTTTTATGTAGTATTTGTATAATCAAGTACTAAATAAATGTGCAGTAACCAGTTACTGTGCAGTAGCACTGGCAAGCACCTGTTTAGTGATGCTACTGCACAGTAGTGTATTAGCACTGTTTCTGCTTTGACATGCTACTGCACAGTATTATTTGGCTACTGCACAGTTAGTGTCTCATGTAGACATGTCCAGTGTGTGTACATAGTGGGCGTGTCTACACATGTGCATTTACCGCACAGTACAGGTGCACATTAATACGTGCATGCCAGTACTACACAATAAATATGGTGACTTGCACTGACTTGAGCGTAAATTTGATACCTGCATCATGCAAGATTCAAATGTGCACCCAGTTAGTTGCTGAGCAGTAACATACATGTAGACACCTTACTGTACAATAACACTGTGTCTGTCGACTGATTTAGGACTAATTTTAGTCACAAGTCAGTCCACACACAGCATTAATGCGCCTTAACACCTGCACATGATGCCAGTCTATTCCTGCTTACTGCTCAGTAAATTTAAGCTGGCATAAATGCACATGTAGACATGCCCAGTGTGTCCTGTAGTAGCTCTACTGAAGATGACCTGGTAATTCAGGAGAATGGTTCTCACTTCCAGTGCTAAAGGTTTTGGACTCAAATCCCGCAGCAGCTCTGACTGGGAAAATGCAAATAGGATCAGATAAGATGATCATAATGGTTTCTTCTCATTTTAGGAGCTATGAATCTATTTGCTGACTATAATACCATCTTCCTTAGATATCTTTTATATATTTTTTTCTTTCTCTGAGGTCCTTTCTTTTTTTGTAATATCCCTCACACTTTCATAAAGTGTCCTGATTAGTTCCTTATCCCTCTTTCTCCCCATTTCACATGCATATTTTTACTCTTACATTGTACATACACTACTTTCATATTATGTTGTATAAAATGAGGCATGAATGATGGGGGGCATGGTGGCACTGGCAGTGGAGGGAGCACAGCAGTGGTAAGCGGGGAGCTCCTGCAGATGCTGCCAGCAGTGTCAGCAGCGGGGGAGTGGCAAGTGTCAACCAAGGGTCAGCGACTACCCACAGATCCCACTGGCGCTGTCAGCGACGGAGGGAGTGGCGCATGTCAATCAGGGGTCAGCAACCACCTGCAGATGCCACCAGCTGCATAAGCAGCAGCCAGCAGCAATTGCTGACCACCCACAGATGCTGCCAGCAGCGTCGGCGGGGGGGCCAGGAGGGGTGGCAAGCGGCAATTGCCCACAGGCACCATCAACCATGTTGGTGGTGCCTTTTTGTAGGGGGTGCACCACCATGCTCAGGTGCACGTGCACCCCCTATGCAGGGGGGGAAAAGGTGCACCCCCTACACATCGCCAATGAAATGAGGTGAATCTGCCTGAGCAAAATGCTCTCAAGAAAACTGAGAGGAGAATTTAGAAAGAGAAGAATCACAAGTGATAGAAAAGCTCCAGGGTATCTTCTCTCAGTGTCTTTTAATCATTTCACTGACACAGTACTGTAAAATTTCATTTTTATTGCCTTATTTGGTATAATATTTTCCCCAAATGGGGAAATTTAAATGGGCACTGTCATAATATTAAGCGTAAAAACTGACTACCAAGCCCACACTGGCCCCCTTTGGGAGAACTTAACCCTTCTGTCTAGAACAATGGTTTCTAGTACTAGAAATATGAAATGAAAGAAAAGACTTTAAGTTTACAATACAGAAATCAGTCCTCTCTATCACAGAGCTAAGACCTGTCGAGTACTGAAAGTGCTTACTATCTCTAGGAACTATGCAGCACATCACAGGATCAAGCCCATAACACTCAAGCTAGGGTTTGTTTAGTATATAGCTCATAGAAAACCACGTGTTGCCTTTTCTTCATATTGTCATCACAGAGATGAAAACAAATAGAAGGAAGGGCTGCTCAAGGTAAGAGCTTCCAGCTGGGCACAGACTCAATCAATGGGAGATCAATTTTTTGAATTGCCAGCTTTGACAGTTCTCCTTTAAAATTCAGTCTCTGGAGATTGAAAGCAAAATTGGGAGAGACAAAAAAGAAAAACAGCCATTAAAAACATCTCTGTCAAAATGCTACTGAGAAACTTCTATAACTGTAAAGTTTCAGGTGCTTAAAAGAGAGTTTATTTTTCTTCACACTGGTAGGGTTATTGGAAACTTTTCAAAATTTTTTTTTCCTATGCTTGTTCAATTATGTAGCGTGCAGTATTACCTGATCGTTACAAGCTGGCAAAATCCTGCACCCTGTGAGTATTGGTAGACTCTAAATGCATCAAGACTGTCATGGTTTCACTGTAAAAAGGGGTGAGGCAATTCTATGAAGGACCCCATATCTATGCATTGAGAACTGTTGCATTTTTGTCCACAAAGTAGATCAGAGCAGGAGAGAGATGCACTGCGTGGTCAGTAGCAACTTTTCTAAATAGAACAGCATCCTTTTTGTAAAGTCCAGTATCCCAAAGAACTAAAGACTGGATGTTCCCAGATGCCCAAGCTTGACATTGTGTTAATTTCTGTCTGTAGAAGAGTATGAGTTAGCATTAACATGTGTGACACACCTGCGAGCAGACTTGTGGTAATAACCATCCTTTCTTACAAACAATACCCCCTCAACATAATACCCACCTTGTTTTTAAAAAGCAGAATAAATACAAAAGATTTTTTCAGAGCTGTGGCACCATATGGCTCATGTCCTGCATAAATAAAGCTGAATCCCTAGACTGATCTTCATGGGTGAATCTATGATTTTAAAAAGAGCTGAAGAGAATGAGCTAACGCACTAAAGAGGCTGTGAAATAGAGAGACCAGGCTAGCTAGCAAACAGCAATATTGCCCTAAGTGTGGTTAGCTTGATTAGTAGATTATCAAGACTATTAAAAAGGAGAGACTATCATTAGCACTTGTAGAGTGAAGAACAATGAGTAGGGGATCTACCCAACTCCAGGAAATGGCCTGCCAATTTCACAGGGCCAGCCACTATTTTTGTGGGCTGATTGTGGTGGGGTGCCCCATGCCTCTGATTGGCTAAGAAGCTTGTATGGCCCTGCCCCTTGTTGCCGATTGGTTGTGAGGGCTGTTCATCATGTGGTCCCACCCCTCACTGCCGATTGGTGTGTGTGTGTGGGGGGGGGGGACTTCATGATGGGCAGCCCTCTCAGCCAATGAGTGGCAAGGGCCTGGGGTGGTAGCCATCTTGGGCTCCCCTTCATGTCGGCAGTCCCACCTCCCCCCTTGCTTCCTGGAAGGCTGCTCAGCCGGGCCACAGTGCTATGAGGACTGCTGGCTCCATCTGGGGAGTCAGCATTTTATTTTCAGTAAGTTGTTTTTTTCCTGCAGATTTTGCAGGCATTGCCCAATTTCACAACCATGAAGTCAGTTGGCCATGAATCATTAAGCCAATTTTCTCCCTCAGCTGCCTCACCAGGGTCCTTCCAACCCCTGGCAGAAAATCAGTTTCCCAGCTTCATACACACACCCCAATCTCACAGGGCTGATTTTGAGGGAAGGGTGTGTGTTGTATGCAAAAAGATATGGTAGTAAGGTTTTACAAATAGAAAGACACAAACACATTATAACTAAAAATGATAAACATTCACCAAATCATCCCTAAGATAGTTTATCTATGATGTATATGGCACACAAAGATACTGTATAATAAAGGATTAATTGGGGGTTGTTTGAAATGGCCTACATAGCTCACCAGTGGCTTTATAAGATGTTTAATATATGAAGTAAGTTAATAATTCATGACGAATCATTTTCTTTGTTTGTGTCTCTCTTTTCTGTTTGCATATCATCTGTAAACAGTTCACAATTCTAGCTTATTTGGTCTACAAAAATATTTGCTGAGTAATTTCTACAAATAATTCTTGAATTGTTGCTTATTCACAAGCAGTGAATTGTGCTTATTAAATATTTGATGTCCTAACATTTAAGCTTTTTAAAATGGGCCTCTGGGTTATATATAATGTTTTTGTTTCCTGATGGGATGAGTGCAACTCCTAGAATGAGCTTTCTAGCATGAATACTCACAATTATGAATTAGATACTTGTTTTTCTGCAGTATTATTTAAAAATTGCTGTTTAGGTAGAACATTTATGCCCATAAAATTGTTTACAAAAAAAATGAATATGAGAGAAATGTGAACACAGTGAAAATAAATTCTCTTAAAATGTCAAGCTAAGAAATGGCATCTATATTCAGATCGTTACTGCCATGTTCATACAGCCACCTCTCCCATCCATCATTCTGTTACATACATAATGCATTTGGATAATGTATGTATTTTGCAAGCAACAAGTTATCATCCGTTTCTTTATAATTCTCTGGTGGGATTTTTGAGGGAGGTTTTTGCTTTCCCCTAGCCCTGTTTAGGGGATTTTTTATCTTTGACGAGAAAAGCAGACATACTAGGCTTGTTACCTTGACCTCTGCCCCACTGAATGTTAAAGCACCAGATGGCAGCTGAGAATATATAATCATATATAATGCTTTCCATTTACGTGCTTCTAAGCACCTAAACTCATGGATGTAATATAGCTTTTGTTACTCATTTATCATCTGTTTATTAATATGTCTGTAATATTTGTTCTTTATTAATGAGATCAAAAATGTGTGATTGGCATTTTGAACTGCTGGCCTCAGAAAGACGCAAAGACACCCTGGCAAGGTGGATATCATGATCTAGACTCTTCTGAGTTTTAAATGGAACAAGGGATGTAAAACAGAAGGAAATGCAGCTAGGGTTTCACCCCACATCTTACTGGAGGAGTGGAGCTCTAGCAATCCTATGAAAGCCTATAGAAATACAGGAAAGAGTCAAACTTCCTTTCAGTCTCATAGGTTCAGATTACCTGATACACAAAGGACCGCTTTCTGTGGTTGAAATGTGATACCCATGAGTAGTAATAACGAAGGAGCAATTTTAAAAATGCAAAGTGGTACCGTTTCTACTTTTGTTCATAGATCTTTCACTCACCTAGTCCAATACACACATTCAATAAAGCTTCATCCATGACTATTCCATTCAAGTCACAGAACAGAGTTTGACTTATTAAGAAGTCAAGAAAAAAAGAAAATAAAGAATGGGATGAGGGTTGGAGAATAGCACAGCAAGAGGGAGGGAAAACAGGCAAAAGGAGAGAACAGAAGAAAATACAAATGAAAGCAAGCCTCTGAAGGGCTTTTATACATTACATTAAAGAGATTTTGCAGTCATCGGATTTCCTGCCTTTATTGTTCTCCGCCTCCAAGGTAACCTTATTTTGAACAAAAATATTCCATTCAGCTACCATTTTGCTGCCACTACTTGCACAGCCTATTGTAGTACACAGAGTGACAGAAATTACAATGTGGAATGATGGAACTGTTAAGACACTGATTTAGGGAACTAGTTAAATGTATAGCTTTTAAGTCCTTGCTTGCAGTTTTGAATGTGCTTAAATACTTCCCTTAATACTTTCCTATTTCAGGGCCTGCATGAGGTCCTCATTATAAATAACCATGGGAGTTTTGCTCTGACTTTCTTTGTTCATACTGGTGGAAGAAAGTATACACCAAACAATTTAGGTGAAATGTCATTGATATACATAGTTACCCCATATATCATGAAAGGTACTGTTGGCATAGCCCCATTTTTCATGTTTGTTGCTCATAATATTGCATAGCTGTGAGCCATTAATTCTCATTAATAGTGAAAGTGATTCACTTTTCAGTTTATCATGGAAGTTAAAAGTAGATTAACCAAAGACAAATAGGATTGGCTAGTTTATGTCCCAGACCCATAAACTGCCAACTCTGAATTAAAATCCAGATCCAAAGGACCCAAAGTTCAGAAATGGTTTGATCTACAAAAGTTCCTGGAACTGCTTTGTGCAGGGAAGAAGAAAACAGATCTAGTTATTTATTTATTCGATATATATGTCATGTTCACCAGAGAGTGCTCAGATCAGTTTACAATAAAAATTGAGATAACTTATAAAAACAGATAAAATATAAATATAGAATAGTGTATTTTGCTTTGCAATTTTATTCCCTTTTAAATGCTATAATCCAAAAGAAAGGTCATGGAGACCGATTGAGCTCATAGTATTAGATCACTAAAATGAATTTGATTTTCTGTTGTTTTAGTCATCTTGGACTATTTCTCTTACACCCACTATGTTTGATCACCTAGGTGGTTCCTCCCATAATCTCCTGGACTTAATGAAAAGGTAAGCATGTCATGAATTGGAACAATGGATGCAGGTACAGTAATTAGTCTGAATTTTACATTCTAAAAACAAAGCAAAACACTGAAATGAATATGCCAGCTGACAGTGCTAAATGACTTAAAATGAACTGACATCATATTTGAAGAATTGCAAGCTTCATGAACATTAAATAATCAATTTTTATTTGATTAGTCTCATATTTGGGGCCTAGAATAAAGCACACAGCAGTTGATGTCTTTCCACTAAATACAAAAGAACTTTGAATAGGCATTTCCATCATATTTACTCTGCTGTAAACTGATCTACATTGACTTCAGTGGACTTACTCTTAATCTATACCAGTGTAAAAAAGTTATTGATAAAGCCCTTTATCTTACTAGAAACTTATTTTGTGAATGCGATTTCTAAATGTTATCTTTGTAAAATTGAGTGATTGTTAGATAAAAAATTAATTCAAGTGAAAGGTAGTCTGAGCTGGGATAGAGGATCCCTAAGTTACATCACAGCTCCCACATCCCCAGATCTGTCAAAGATGATACATAGGGCACAGTCAGAAATGACAATTTTTGCCTGATCTGGCCACAGATCAGTAAAAGTGATCAGAAACTAACTCAAATCTGTAACATGACAGAAATTCAGCGTGCATAAGCCACTTTCAAAGTGGCTGAAACTGGTTTAAGATAAATCTGGATGGATGTAGTATCAGATTTAACTAATTTAGGTTAAATCTGTGTATTGAATTTCTGTCCCAGATCCCCTCCAGGTTCAAGTTAACTCACAGTCCCACAGCATCCCAGAATGTTTTGCACCAACCCCACAAAACACTCCTCCCCCCTTGCAGGGTGGGCAGGCTAATCTTGGCTCACTCTTGTCTGTTCCAGTGGAGCAGGGATGTGTGTTCTAGCGCCCTCCAGCTTCTGCCCTGGACCACTGCAGGCATGTGGCTGCATTTCTGGAATCAAATGTGAATGTCTGTTCACTTGCTTATTGGTTCAATCTACACATTTTAGACTAATCTGTGAAGATTGAATTGATTCAGTCTTGAGCTTTTTGACCACCAATACATAGCCCTATTGGATGGCTGGATGGAAGGGCTAAGTTGAGTTGCTAAGGACACAAAGGGCGCATCTACATGTGTATTTAAGCACGACTAAATTTAATGTGCATTAAGCTAATGCGCGTTAAGCAATTTTTGGCAGGAGTCTATGTGCAGGGACTTGGCACTAAAGTTAGTACCAGGTCCTTGCAGCCCTGCCATGTACCCCTAGTGGCTAAAGTTAGTGCTGGGTCATGTCTACCCGTGCATTAATGCACTTTAACTAATCATGCCTAAATTTGATGCCTGCATTTGCAGGCATCAAATTTAGGTGTGATTAACCTAATTTTGCCATTTTTAATGCACATTAAGGGCACATACATGTAGATGTGCACCCATAATGCATATTAAATTAAGCTAATGCACATTAACGAGTCTTGTGTAGATGCTCCCAAAGAGTTCTATCTCATGAGCCAGAGAGCCATTCATTAGCTGAAGGTGCATGTCTGTCAATGACTTCTACTCCATTTCTGTCCTGCTATGGAAGATCTCTGCAGTTCTTCTGAGCTGTGTCTGCTTGTAAGTATGCTTACAGCCTCCACCACCCAATTGTTTGCCTTTTCATTAATAGCAAACCACCACCATCCCTTTTCAGGAAGAAAGCAGCATTACCACAAAGCAGTTGCTATTCCTGGCTGCATGCAGTTGGCCCCTGTACTGGAAGGCAGCTAGGGAACAAGTACTGCCCATCTTGTTCCCTGCATTTGTGCAGCTACATAGGGCCTACGCTAATCTAAATTTTAGTAAATAGATATATGTTACACTGTACCTTGACGCTGAGTATACTTGGAATCTGTCCAGTCAATAAGGGAAAAATGTCTTGGACCTCAAGATCTTAATCAAGTACATCTTGCTTGTAGTCGTTCCTACCTTCAAATGTATGGAACATCAGCAAGAGCATTCTACCTGCTCATTATCACCATAGCACATAAGAAGAGAACCAGGGTCTTTATGAGCAAAGATCCAAACCATATACTGATAAATCAAAGAAAACGGCACAAGGGACTTTGACTAAAGCTGGTAAAAAGGTGGACTTTTCTATTTCTTGGGAAGATTTAACATTTCAAAATCTGTGTCCATTCTGGTTAAGGACAAAATCAAATTGTATCAGTTTCCCACACAATGAGAATTGTGAAAAAATAATATTTCAGAAAGTTTCCTTTTTTGAATTCCAAAATTTCATTTAGAATGTTATGAATTTTTATTTGTTATTATTTTTACATTTTTTCATGATATATCAGTAGTTCATATTACTGATGCATCTCATTCTATACTAGTCAAGATATTCCATTACTTGAATATTATTTTATTTTTAAAAGTAATTAAGGGCAGCTTCTGCTTAGTGTTGACTAAAACATCTTATCTGTTTTTCTAGAACAGTGTCGCCTGTAAAAAAAACAAACAACTGGGTATTCTTAGTGATTTTAAAAATTAACATAAAATTTAAAATAAGTTTCAAAGTGCCATACTATAGCATATTATGCATTAATACTACTGAGTGGGTGTATTTACATGTACAATTAATGCCATTTGAACTTGAGCCCAGGACCACAGCATGTTGAGCTGGGATGAAGCAGCCCTGGCTGGCAGGGGGTGCTGGGGGTCAGCCTGCTATCCTGGTGATGCTCCTGACCATATCAATGTGCTGTGAAGGGGCTGGTTGGGGCATGAGGGTGCTCCAGTGTGGTGCTAGCTGGCAGGCAGCCCCCTGCACTGAAACATCCTCATGCCCCAGGCAGCCATGCCAACATCTACATGTGCACTGTTGTGGAGTAAAAATCTCTGCAGCAGGATAGTACTCCTCTTTACAAGTACTATCCTGCTGCCGAGTTCATTAGTTTACTCTAGTTTAAGAGCCTTGCACTTGTAGATGCAAGATGTTTACTGTGGAGCTAATTAGTCTACTGCACAGTAAATGTCTCATGTAGATGCACCCAGTTAGTAAGAAACAATATAAAATAAGGAAATCAATGTAAGAAATTAATACTCAAAACAAATTTGAAATTCCAACCTGAAACCCTGAAAATTTTCAAATAAAATATTTTTCTTAAATGAAACTTTTTTTCCTTTAAAATATTTTCTGTTTACATTTTTATTGAAATTAACACTTTTTTTTCCAAAATACTTCAAAACGGTTTGGATGAAAATAGCATTTTTCATTGAAAAATACTGACCAAAATCTGACCAGCTCTATTTTTACCTACTTCTCTAAAAGTATGGCATATTCATGAAAAATGGCAGTGCATAAAATGTAAAAGTTATTGTTCCTTGGTCTCTTCAGATTTGATTTACCAATGAAAAATGTGTGTGTTGGGTGGTGGGGGGTGTTGTGAGTTTGTTTTTTCTATTTCTCTCTCTCTTTCTGTGAACTGGTCCCAGAAAAGTCATTGAAATCTAAACTCTCAGTGTGGGAGTAGAGAATCAGGTTCTAACACAAATATCTGTTTGAGTTTACTATTCTGGGTTTTGGGTTGCAGGCCAGACCTAAAGCAAGAAAGGGTGTGGTTTAAATTCCTATGATATTTAAAAGTTTGAAAATTTGTTTGAAATTTCCTCTGCTCTGAGTGATAATCTTGGTAGTTTAGCTCTTAAGAATTCAACAGCATCTAACTCAAAACCATATCCTAATTTGACCTTAAACCCAAAACTTTATATGAGCAATCCTTAGTCCAACATGACCTCTAATTAGCCCAACATGACCCTCATCTCTAATTGAAATTGCTGATTAAAATATTTTGATCTTAGTGAAAAGGAGGTGGAACACCAGCCGGTAAAAGAATGGTGAGCCAAATATGCAAAGGGAAAGACAATTTTGAAAATATCTGAAAATGTTACCAAATTATAAGAGTATAGCAAAACCAGATTTATAACCATTCAAGAGTAGCTTAAGCTTAAAATAAATACTTCAAAAAGTTCTGTCACGGACACATTGTGTAATTCAAGTTGAGAATGTCTTTCACCATTAATCTTGCTACTTTATCTATTTCTTTATTTATTTCTTTATATTTTTAGCTTGGCTAGAGATCATGTCTTGGACAATCCAGCCATAGTTATCTATTCTGTAATTGGGAATGATGTCTGCAATGGGTAAGGTTCAACAAACCAAACTAATGTTTATATTATATGTCTTTTTTAAGAGTCTTCTTATGAGTTAAGCCTTTCCATGTTGTTATTGTTTTCTTTCTCCTCACTACATTTGGCTTTGTTGCTTTCTCTGCTGAAACATAGTACTTTCATGGTTACTGGGGCTAGAGTAATTTCTGACTTCTTGGTAACAAGTGATCTTGCAATAGCTTTGTTGCCAAAGCTAGCTTTGCTCCCCTCTTCTATTATTAGAGGACCTTCTGCCTTGACACTAATCACCAGTACTGCCAAAGTATCAATGTGCTCTCCTGCTCAGGCTAAGGGAGCAATTCAAGAGGATGGTAGGATACCCACAAGGACAAATTAGCCTTTTGCTTTTGAGCCTTGCCTATTTCTGAGTACTGCAGAGAGATATTGTTCATTCATTCATTTTGGTCTCGTTCACCCTATGAGTATGACAGGGAATCTTGCAAACATCTTCATAAACACAGACCCCTGGTGACTAATAGGGAACACTTACAGCGGGCATGTCTATGCATGTATGTACGCCGGCTTAAAGTTACTGTGCAGTAAATGGGAATAGACCGGCACCTACATGTGCAGACATTAAAGCACTTTAATGCTGTGTGTGGACTGGCTTGGGACTAAAGTTAGTCCCAAGTCAGTCTACATACACAGTATTACTGTGTAGTAAGGCATCTACATATGTGTTACTGCACAGTAACTAATTGGCTGCAAGTTGCCATGTTGACTGCATTGTACAGGCATGCGTATGTAGACCCACACCCATACTGTGCAGTAATTTTGGTTACTGCACAGTAAATGTGCACATGTAGATGCACCCAGTGGTATTCATCCCAGCATTTTACTCCTAAAATGTTTGATTTGGCTTAGCTATAGCTACAGAACAGAGTCTGTACATCTCCCTCATTCTACTAATGCAGTGGTTCTCAACATTTTTAGACTCATGGTGGCCCTTGGAAAATGTGAGGTCTTAGTTTTCACTCATTTTTTGACTACAGAAAAATATCAGAGCAATTTTTCTATTGCAAAGAACTAAGAAAGACTGCAACAGGTCAGAATGGTTTTAACACTAAGGATTCCTATTTGAAATCTCTGGGTTTATCTTGTGAATCACATGAAGGTGTTTCCACACCTAACAGTGCTAGCATTGCTTGGCACACTGCAGCACCTTTCAAAGGCACCCCAGGGTGTCATGGCACCCTAGTTAAAAATCACTGTACTAATAATTTTGTTATTTTCTGCCTCTAACTTGAAATTACTTCAGTGACCTGCTTCATTTTAATCTTCTTTTACAGTAGCTTCATTTCCTTTATTTTACTATTCTTCCATTCAGTTTTCATTTGGTTTGTGCCCTCATCTGGAACTGTGTTAAATGTTCCCCTGTAATACCCCTACAATACCAAAAGGGCGTGCATATAATCTCAAAACCAACAGTAAACTGTGCCCAGAGTCTGATTGGAATAAAAACTCCACCGTGTAAATGCATTTCAGCTCTTCTTCATACCCACACCACCTGCTTCCATAATTGTAAACTGGGACCACTGTGGGGCAAGATATGTGTGGCAACAATATGCAGAGGCTAACTCAGAAATCCCATCCCAGAAGCTAGGCCTTATCTATGGCTCCTGTTGCAAAAGCCTCTGGAGTGATTTAAGTGACAGTTTTAGTATCTATTCCAAGCTTCTGTTGTGTATATATTTTTGATGTAGATGCTGTACCATCTCTGCTGGAATCCAACCCTTGGTCATTGCCACATCTCTGGTTTATTTTTAATTCTATAGCATTTCTCTCTAATTCAGATCATCCCTGCTTTCTTCTCTCTTACACTATTTTTTAAAGTCCATCAATTTAAACTATTTTTGGCCTCCATTTGTGTGGATATTTCCAAATGCTATTTATTATTTATATCTATCCAAAATGTTATCCCACATTACAGTGACACTGTTCAAATTTGATCCTGCATATGTTTTGGTGGGAAATGTACACGTCTACAAAAATATAAGCACTCTTTTGGCTCCAAAACGGGAAGCTGCTGCTGCCTTTTGTAGAAATCCAAAACTCCCATAGATATACTAAGAAGGAAACAAACCATGGATTTATTTTCAAGAGGATATTGTTATATACAGTGGCAGTAGCTTTGAAGTATCTACAGAGGTTCTTCTGAATGCAGACCATCTACAGAGAATGATTTCAAGCAAGAGGCCAGACAAATAAAAATGACTTTAAAGGCAATTTTAAATTGCAGTAATAAGGCCCTTACAGCCTAATCCTAAATTCTGTCTTTGAAAGAGATAAATGCTCTTGCATACACTGAAAGAACAATTCTTAGCCAAAGCACTATTAAAATGCCAATATTTTATCCAATGTGAAGAGCTAGCCAGTGAGTAATATAGGCACTTGCAGAAGAGAAACTTAATGAAATTGGCACAGTATGCTGTACTTTCCTCAGTACCCACTTTGTACTGTCCAATCAAGGGGGTTAGAAAAATGAAGACAGATGGCAACTGTATCTCTCAGCCCACTGAGGCCCAAATGTAGGACAAAGACCCAACATGAAAAAGATGAGAAAGTAATTAGTACAAGCAGCTTAAAATTCTCTAGAATGATTAAATGCATTTATTCTGTTTTATTTAATAAACCATTTCTATGGACCCTCTTAAGTGTTGGTGATATAAAAATGTTACAAAAATTGAAGCTGAAACAGTAGCAAATTGGTGTGGAATCAAAGTCATCTACAGTCTAAAATGAGGGACAGCTGAGAGAGACGATGGGAATAGATAAGAATTCCATTACTGTAAGGCTGCCATGATCAGCTGTATTATATCCTGTCCCCAGCTCTCAAACTGGGTTATATCGCTGAGCATTCCTGTGCTGAGATTTAGGATATTAATTAAAAACAGAAAAATGTGTGCAGACTGAAGGGCCATCCTATGGCTCTAAGTTGTAATTTGTAGTGCAATTATATCACTGGAATTTTGAAAATGCTCCCATGATTAGAGTGATACAATGTAGCATGTTTTCAAACATTCACACATTAATGTGCATATAACATGAATTGACACAGTGCACTGTGGCAAAAATCAGTTTTTAAGCATCTCAGTGTTGTGAACTGACATGATATGGAGCAGTTGAAGAGAACTACCATATTTTCTCTTAGGCAACATGAACATGCCTCAAATTAAATATGCACCTTGTTTTTGAAAGGCAGAATAAAGAAAAAAAGATGTTTTTACTTGAGAGCCTGGAGGGGCAGGCAAGAGGGGAAGGGGCAGGGAAGGGCAGAGAGGAGAGAATGTATCCATAACCAGCAGCTAGGGGGTCCCGCATGCAGCAGGTGCAATTTTACTTTCAGTTTCCCCTGGGAGAGGCTGGAGGCAGAAACTGCTATTACCATATTTCCATGATGTTAATGTGCACTCTGATTTCCAGCAGCTGAGTGTTAGGGAAAAGGTATGTGTTGTATACAAGAAAATATGGTATGTCCCAAGACTGTCCTGCTATAGCTGGGGCAGGCAATTGTTTCAGGCGGAGGGCTACTTAACGAGGTTTGGTGAGTTGTCGAGGAATACATAGGTAGCCCTGCCCCTTGACAGGTGCCCTGCCCCCTGGCTGCCATCTTGGGACCACAAGTCCCAACCCTAACCCCTGATCTTTGCCAGTCCTTCCCCTTCTCCCCCAGAAATACTCCTTTTGGGAAGGGGAGGTTGCCATCTTAGAACCTGAAAAAACCAAATCATATGCTAAAAGTCAAACACTTACTATAGCATATTTCAATTTTATTACAAAAAATATTTTTGTCATGATTTGTGTTTGTGTAGTGTATATAGAGGTGATTGCATAATAACTCAAAAATAAATTCTTAGTCTGTTATATTGTGCGGGGGGGTTGGGTGTGTGTGTATGGTGGAGGGTGTATGGTAGGAGGGGTGTGGGGGATGTATGGTGGGGGTGAGGGTGTTTATGGTGGGGTGTGGGGTTTGTATGGGGGGTGTCGTGGAGTATGGGAGGGAGTTTGTGAGGGGGTGTGGCTGTGTGTGGAGGGCATAGGGTATGTTGGGAGCTTGTGTGGTATTTGTGAGTGTGTGGCTCTGAAGAACTGTCCTGCAGTTAAGACAGGCAACACTGTGGGGTGGCGTCTGTGTGTGTAATTTGTGGGGTGTGAGGGAGGGTGGGGGGCGTGTGAGGACCCTCTCCACACTCCTCCCATGGTGCAGCAGCAGGCACTGGAGTCTGGCTCTGCCCAGTGCTGCATATTGCAGAGAGGAGCACAGTCCCCACTGGGCCGTTTGTTTCCCCCACACACCCTGCACTTGTGGGGCACAGGAGGGAAGCCCCAGGCATTGGAGCTGGCTGCTTACCCCACCCCAGCCCACTCCAGTGCCTGGGGCTTCCCTCCTGTGCCCCGCAAGTGCAGGGAGTGACAGGGAATCAAATGACCCAGCAGGGACTGCACTCCTCACAGCACTGTCTAGAGCCAGGAGTCAGGCACCAGTGCTGAGCAGAGACACCCCCCCCCCCCCGCTGCTGCTTCCCCTGCTGCCTGCCAGGGCTGTGCACCATGTGGGGAGTGTGGGAGGGGTTCCCATACCCCTCGTCCCTCACACCCACATCCTGCCCACTCAAGCTCCACGCCGCTGCGGCTCCCCTGGGTGCAGGTTCTGTGCTGCAGCCAGCCCCACACCCTATGCTCCCACCCAGCTGCAGCCCTGCCCCTGTCCCCCACCTTCCCTATCTGCTGCTCAGAGGGAACTGGACATTGGGAAACCCTGAAGCAGCAACCCTGCCTGTGCTAGTGGGGCTGGGCCATTCAGCTCACGAGGGTGGGACCAAGGCATAATAGGATATGTTGGGGGTGCGTGTAGGCACCTTGCTCCCACCCTCATGGGCAGCAGGGCTGGGTGGAGCACAATTCACTGAGGGGTGCCGTGGGCCGGATGAAAATGCCTGGCAAGCCAGATCTGGCCCGTGGGCCATATTTTG